GAAGCCGCCCGGCGGCTGCGGCTTCGCTCGTCGTCCGGGCCCGAGGAACTCTGTCGTTGCAGCGGCTTTACGCAAGCGGCGGAGGGTCTCCGAGGGCGCGGTGCTCCCTCACGCCTCGGGGACGTTGTGCTGGGGGCAGCCCTGCGGTGGCGAAGCCATTGGCCCTCATCCTGCATCGGGGGGCGTAGGGGATGGAGGGGGGCTGAGCTGGAGCTCACATCCCCTTAGGGGTGGGAGGATTCGCCTGGGAGGTGCAGGCCTTCGAAGACCAGGTGTTGCTGGTCCTAATGCTCGAGGAATAACTTATTTGTTGCTGTTTTCTATTAAAGCGGCTAAACTTTAACTGGTTGTCTGACCAGGAATGGAAATCCAAAGGTGCTCGTGTACTGATAGGCTTAAGCCTGGTTTCAGGAATGCGTTGCAATTGTTGTTTTGGGTAAGAGTGCAACTTCTTCAGCTGTCATAAAAAAACCCTAGTCACGTCTTCATCATGTGAGCAGGTATAAAGTTATGTAGCATAGCTTATTTCTGTATCAGCATTACTATACTAATACGTGCCTCTGTGTGCTAAAGTAACTGCGAATAGTAGAAATGGGCTGTTTGGTTCTTGAGAGTGAATTGTAACAGTCTGCTTGTAAAGGCGGGCAGCACATCTGTTATAATTCCTATTATTGCTTATTTAGGTAGAAACAAATTTTAAGTGGTTTTCTGCAGTTGTTAGACTACGTCCCATCTTCTGCCTTCTATTTACAAATTTTTTTTTTATGTAAAACCCAACTTTGTGTGTGAATGCTTAACTTGTCAGCAGTTCTTTCGCTACTGTTTTTCACATTTTTCCATGTTTTTGAAAAAATACTTCTGCTGTAATTGTTTATGACAGCAACCTCTCCACCTGTGGTTTTATGGTGTGACCTTCTATATGCCTTGTACTCTGCAGCTTAGATCTTTGGGCAGAAGACAGTGATACTCAATTATTAATTGAACTTGTCCCTCTGTGGTGTATATACTATGCTCTTGCCTGGATAGTCAACCTTTCTAGAGTTGCCCACCAATGTGACATATACGGGCTGCAGTGAAGTTGTGGTGTGGAAATTTGTGGTGATTTGTTTACCTTTGTACAGGTGCTGTTGCACAGCTAGTGTAATAGTGGAGGAATTCTTGTGTCCAGATGTACTATTGGGAGGAGTAGAATCTCCCACAAATGGGAGGTGATAATATTATATGTATATGTTCCCTTTACAAGGGGTTGCAATAAATACACCAACTTGGTAACTTTGGGAAGAAACTAGACCTGTGTCTCTCACTAGCTTACATACCACAGAATGTAGAGAGATGAAAAAGTGAACTGTTTACCCTCAGGGAACAGAGGATGGATGTTTTACGTATTTTCTGTATGTAATTCCAGAAACACAAGTTTGTGCATGTTGCCTGCTGCTGTTTATTTTGAGGTTGAATAGTGAGTTGTCTCCACTGTGGTGTTGCATAATGTGTTATCGAGAATTCTCAGTTTTACAGCAATCCAGATTGCTAAATTAAGGTTGTCTGAGTTTCTTTGATTTCTGTTAACTAGCATATGGTGATGATATGGTGTTTGTACAACTGCTGTTTTGCTTAATCTTGTTCTTAAATGTCTCTAGAAATGAGGGAGAAGGGAAGTAATCAGTATTGTATGAAACAGGTGTGCTCATTTCCTTGTACGTAGCACAGGTGATAGCATGCACCAGGGTGAAGCATCGAGAATAACCAAGTTGAGCAGTGGCTGGCTTTCTCTTGTGATTTCCTAATGATTGAATAAGGTGAAGCTGTAGCCAAAAGTGAGGTACTTTTCAGTTGCTGCTTTTGGTCTTGATAGAAAAAAAAATCTTGAGTTCTTTAGGGCAGGAAGTTATTTGGTAATTGATGATGCAAAAACTTGAAAAGTGAGCTGTGCCATGGTTGAAACTGTATTATTTTTCAAAAGCCATTCTCAGGTAGCTCTAATGCTGGGGAACAGTAGGTTTCCTTGGTGCTTGAGGCTTTTCTGAAGAAAAAAAACAGAAGTCTGAAACAAAATACACTTTAGGTATGAATATGCTAAAAATGTGCTATCCTTAAACTTCATAGATGTCATCTTTAATGCAAAAGTACTTCATTTCTCCATGCAGAACTAAATCATGTTGCTGCTTGCCACCTCTTCTCTCCTCCATAAAAAAGTGTCAATATGAGAAAGTCAAAACCATTTCCACGGGGTGCATAATGAAGGCACAGAAATGGGTGCAAAAAAAAGTTAATAACTAAGTCTTTCTACATAACTTTTCCTACCACAAAGAAAAGTTGGTTTGGTCTTTCATTTCATGACCTTTCTTAATTGTAAAGCCTCATACTGATGCATTGCACTGCTGTTCAGTGCCTGGAACAGTCCGAAAGTCCTGACTGTGAGAATAAATGATTCCAACTGGTTTTCTGTCTCTTACTGGCAAATGTAATCCTGAGTGCTGGGGATCTTTTCTTTATTATTGATATAATCGGTTGTAGCAAAAAAAATTACTTTGTGTGTGTGGTCTTTTTTCATAATACCCCACATTCTGCCACAAGTAATTTTGTTGGGCCTTACATTACAGGGTATGGAAGTAAGCTGCATATCAGCCCTGGCAGAGGTTGCCTCCATGCTGATTCACAGATCTCTGCGGACAGAGCTAGTTCCAAGGCACAAGTAGAGTAGATACTTTTCTTTAGC